GTATGTAGGTATTATCTCATTCTGCCAACAGAGAGCTGATGTGATGCAATTGTGTCTTTGTTGTTAGTTTCCAGTGAACCTCTCTCCATGAGTTTCGTGAATTGCGGAGCTATTTGATCACTAAAAGTAGTTTTGTTTTGGCAAGTTGTATTGGCTTATTGTTCTCTATCAACTTGTTACTCTTACTTTCCAAGAATCACTGCCATGATGAGAAGGCTTTGGGAATCATGAAGACCTTTTCTTGGGTACACAGTTCATGGCCAAACAAGTGGTTATATCAGGGCACAGCTGTACCTGTATCCTATCTGTCTGTTTCAGGGAAACAATAGCCTTTATCTCTGGCAGATACTCACTCATTTATTTATTACCTCTTTCGAATTTGTTCAGTTCCTACTGGAGACACTAGAAAATATTCTAAAACACTCATATTTTAAAGTACATGTAGAACTTGGCTAGAATCCTGGTTCAGCTACTAACTAGCTGCTTCACTGTATAAAATCTACAGAAAGGCTATTAAAAAAAAGTCTTATTTTGTACAAACCAGAATAACTATACTTGCCTAGTTTATTTTTCAACACTAAACAAAATTTCTAAAAGTAAATACACCCCAAAATAGATGGATATCGTATCAATTCAATATGTATACTAAGTGCAAATACATCATCATTTCTACGTTTTTAGACCTGGGACAGCAGGATGACTCAGTGTGTAACTATTTGCTGCAGAAGTTTAATATAAGTGTCTGATGCATGAAATCCATATAGAATCTTGGGATCAAATGAACTATATTTTTATAACATCTTTGATATTTTCCTTAAAATGGATTTCTAGAATTGTGGATCAAATTGTATACATCATTTTCAGCTTTTAGGTATATATTGTTTGAAAGGTATATTGATGGAAACATTCTTCTAATTTTAATACTGATGACAATGCCTTTGTTTATTGCAGGGATTCTTCTGTTAGAGGATTCTATTTTCTATAATCAAGTGTCACGTAGTTTGGGGTATAACTCAATTCTACTACATTCTCTAAGCAGAGCCCATCAGTACTCTCTGTACCTGCCTTTGATGACCCATGTCTATGCTCTACAAGAAGTAATCACAGAGCTCTTGCAGGAACTTTAAGAAGACTGGACAGTCTCCCTGACCCATGAGGATTAGTTATGTCTAACAGCAGTGCTCTGTCTGTGAACTGAGGGAGGAACTTAAAGAAAACTGCTATAAACAAACAATAAAATCAAAAAGCAAAGCAAAATAACAACAGCAACAAAAACAATCAAACAAAAGAAGGTCAATAACATTCCCAACCTAGGTGAACTGTCTGAGAAGCTTCTATAAAGCAAAGGACATGGTCAACAAGACAATATGGCAGCCTACAAGATGGAAAAAGATCTTCACCAACCTTACATCAGATAGAAGGCTGATCTCCAAAATATACAAAGAACTCAAGAAATTGGTCTTCAAAAGAACAAAATATCCAATAAGTAAAAATGGGGTACAGCCCTAAACAGAGAACTCTCAAGAGATAAATTTAAAATAAAGACACTTAAGGAAATGTTCAACATCCTTAGCCATTAAAAAATGCAAATTAAAACAACTCTGAGGTTCCATATTATATCTGCAAGAATGGCCAAGATCTAAAACACTGATGACAACTTTTGCTGGAGAGTATGTGAGATAAAGAGAACATTCCATCATTGTTGGTGGCAATGCAACTTGGCATAGTCACTTTGGAAATCAATATGGTGATTTCTCAGAAAATTAGGAAGAAACCTGCCTCAAGAACCAACAACACCACTTTTGGGTATATACCCAAAGGATACTCATTCATACCACGAGGACATGTGTTGCTATTTTTATAGCAGCATTATTTATCATATCCAGAACCCATATACAACCTAAATTCCCCTTGACTGAAGAATGAATAAAGAAGAAATGGTACATTTATGCTACAGAGTACTTCACAGTGGAAAAAAAATAATGACATCTTGAAATTTGCGGGCAAATGAATGAATCTAGAAAACATCATATTGAGTAATGTATCCCAGATCCAGAAAAACAAATATAATATGTACTTACTCTAAGTGACTTTTTGACATAAATCAAAGAAAAACTACTCTAAAATTCACAATCTCAGAGAACCTAGACAACAATGAGGTTCTTAAGAACATGAATCTAATCTACAAAAGAAGTAGAAAAAGACAAGATCTCTTGAGTAAACTGGGAACATGGAAATCACAAGAGAGGCTAGAAGGGGAGGACAATGGAGAGGAGGGGAGTAAAGAAAAATACATAACTCAATAAAAACAATAAAACAAGCAAATGAATAAATAAATACAAAAATGAAAATATATTCATCTCTTTCCATAATACACATGACATGAGGTTGAACAATGTTATCAAATGAATCCAGGTATCTATATTTGTTGAGAAAAGGAGAGTAGGAAGGAAAGGTTGATGGTGGAGGGGAATAAGGAAGAGGAAGGAAAGAAGAAGGTGTTGCCATGGAAAGAAAGTTGAAATATCACTCCTATTCATGGATATCAATTGTTTGTAGCATGCCGGAGATCTCTGGTGAAGTGGAGTTTTCAGTCCTATAATCAGGAGAGTCTCAGAAGCATGCCAAAACAGCATTATAAAATGTTCTAAAGCTGGATTGTAGAGATGCTGCAAACTGTGACATATCGATAAAATCAGTCCATTGTACAGTCATTGTAACTAGATTTATAGTATATACATTGTAACTGTATATGATAACAAACAGTAATAAAATGTTGATGTGACTCATAGTCTGTTTATTATTAAGAAAGCAAAAAACTAGATAAAGGGAGCTCATACATATGGAATTATTCCGATTTACTAAGAGTAATACATTATAAACAAAAATTATCTTCCTCTTTAGAATAATTCCCTTTAGAATTTTAAAGTAATAAAAGTTTCAAAATATTTGAGGATATTTCTCAACAAAGTATACAGGAACTTTCCTGGAAATTTTCTGCATTAATTAAATATTGCAATACATTTATATCGATTTAAAAATTATTGAAATGGCTGTATTTTTTGTAGTTAGAAAAAATTTGTGCTCTATGGTTTAAAATTATGTTCATGACTAGTTGCATGTTACTATATGATTAAAGTTTTATGAGTTACATAAGATACAGACAAATATCTAGTTGTTATTTGCTTGAAAATTCTAGAAACCAGTTTATGCTTTTCTTTAGCTATGAAATAGAAATGTAACTTTTAAAGGCTATTTTTTTCAGGCATTTATCTTGTTTGCTTTTGTAACGTTGTCAGGCTTTTTTCTGCCTGTCACCAGATCTTGGACCTTGTCACTGCATCTGTCAGCATTTGCTGATTTAAAATAGGATCAAAACAGTCATGTTTCCTGCCCAAGGTCACACAGCTTGTATAACTGGAATTCCTAGCACAAAATGACTTATAGGCTCCAATCATAATAGAACCGCATATCTTTAAAATTATTTCTTTTATACTTTAAGATTATAATATCCCCATTCCCTCACTCTAGAACTTCTTGCGTGCCCCTCCTCTCTCTCTTTTAAATCCATACCCTCTTTTTTTTCATCAAATTGCTTTTACATAAATAAATGCTGTTGCTGAACATTCATCCTGAAAAGAAACATGTTGGTATAGCCTTATAGAAGAAAGATCATATTTTTTTTAAAGTTTTCACTTAGTGCTACTAATTCCCTAACATTTAGATACCTCAGTTTCCCCTTTTCACTTGTAAAGTAAGAACAGAACAGAAGAACCCTATGTTAAACTTCTGCCTGGTTGATTTCCAGATTTGACAATCCAAACATCTTGGTTCTGCAAAAATTTACACTGAGTCTTTTTCACCATGGAGTTTTCAAAAGTTTTCAAGAGATTCCCCCCTTGCACAAAAAAAATCTCAATCCTGAGCTTTTGAGTGGATACAGAAAAATATTTTGGACCATCTCCCTTCTTCCTTGCTCCCAGAAAAAGGGGTCTATATGTAGTGTACATTAATATACCAATGCCTGTTCTTTTGAGACACTTACACATTTAATTTTTGAAGGCAACAAAAAATTGAAACTGCTTCTGAAACATGCAATTCTACTATGAACTCCAGGTTGCTTTCAAGTTCCATTCTTGCAAGCTACCATATATGTGAATAATTTCACTTCTTGTGTCCTCTGAGCTTCAGCAATGCATCTTAGACTCTTAGAGCTAATTTTGAAGATTCCTTTCTTCTTTTCTTTTCTCAGACAGAGTTTTTTTTTCTTTTTAATTCAGTACTTCATTCAGACCTTTCCTCTGCTGACTTTTGCTCTGGAAGTAGCTAGGTCCCACATCAATATCACAACTGACTTGACCGAGTGAACATAGACCCCCAAACAAGGGCTTTTGGAACAGCAAAACAATAAAGCAAAACCCAAGCCTCTCCTTTCACTCAGGAATAACTGGGAGTCACTGGGTCCAACGCCACCCTGCAATTGTAGATACCTTGGGGTCTGGACTGCACAGAAACTTGGGATCTAGGAACAAGGTAGCAGTCCCATGTACTCCAACTCAAGCATCTGACCACCAGCCTCTTCCAATAGGAATGGACCTACCCTTGAAGGAGTTTTGGCATCTACTTAATTTCCCAAAGAGGTGTAAAATGTACCAAAAGGAACACAACACTCAGAATAAATCAGCTTTCTCACAATGAACTTTCCTGAGTAACAACTTTTTGTTGCTGAGAAGTCATAGCACAGCATTTCAAAGTGACAAAATCCGGGGCAATCACAGAGTACATCCAGCAGTGGCTTAACTTTCAAGGACAGGTTTACATAGGTCATAGGTGTTCACACCCCTTTTCTTCAGTATATATGGCAGGTAGTCAAGACCCCTGATCAGTAAAATAAGTTATTTTGTACATAACAGTGCACAGAGGACAGAAACTTTACAGAGGTGACCAAAAGGCATTGTACAGAAAGTCTCATGGTGAGTGGCAGCCAGGGCCTCTGGCCTTCAGGAGCTTGACCCCTGCTCTTTGGCTGCAGAGGCCTTAGGAGCAGTTGTTTCTTCCTTGTGCTCCACTGGCTTTGCCTCCTCTTCCTCCTCCTCGTCTTGGCCCGAAACTGGTCTATACAGTCTGATCCCTAGATTTCCTCTTTGCTATAATGGAAGCAATGAAAGGCAGACTTGAACTGTTCCCTACAGTGGCCACTCGCCATTTCCCCAAGGTATGGGCAATTCCAGTTAATATTTCCATTGGGCAGCATCAATCCGTGCTCCTCATAGGGATCATTGGGGTCATCAGCCACCAGTTCCACACTGCTAGGAGTTTCATGCTCTTCTTTGGTCACAAATATGATCTGATCCTTCTCTTCCTGCCGGCAGTAGGACATGGTTGTTCCCAATGCTCGCAGCTCTCAGTGGCAGCGGATGCAGGCATAGCGGATACACCTTCAGGCCATGACATCCCTTCTCCTCTTTTCAGGCCTTGCTGGCACTGAGGCCCGTGCGGACCCAACCCCTCCAGACCTGCCTACTGTTCACCTGCCTCCAAGCCTTGGAAGTCTCCTTTGTTCTTGAATTAAGAATAGCAATCCCTTCTTCTTCCTTGAATCAATCACTAGGAAGTATGATTAGCAACAAAGCTTTCTGCTACATCTTCCTCTCGATTCATGAACACAAGTTTACTCTGATGTCCACCCGAACTCATTCATCCCCTCAGGGTGTGAGGATTTTGAGTCATCTAAATTGACTTATTCATGTCTTCTTATGAGCCACTTTAAGTCATGAGTTATAATCCATTTTTTGTATACAGTACCTTAACTGATACATTTTAGTAGCCTGTCACACATAGAAGGTAAATGACAGTAGATGGGGGGTGTTTCTCAGTATTGAACTCATTCTCTATGTGTTTGTATATTATCATTATTATATCAAAATTAGATTAAAACAATATATGACTATTCCTTATTATCTTGCATACTTTAATATTGCTCTCAAACTCTCAAACAAACTCAAAGACAAGATCTTCATAAACATCAACTTTACAGGAGAGTGGTGGCTCATGCCTTTAATCCCAACACTTGGGAGACAGATTTCTGTGAGTTTGAGGCCAGCTTGGTCTGCAAAGCAAGTTTCAGGATAGCCAGGACTGTTATACATCGAACCCCTGTCTCAAAACCAAATACTAAACTATCAACTTTGTCTGTTTCTTCTTAATTATACATTCTCACACACAGAAAATAGCCAACCTTGACAGATTTTGTTCTGGATATTAATTATTCAGTTATCATTCATTAGTCATGGAGAATATCAATGTAATATCAGACAATACTGTAAAACTTATTTACTTCAATGTCAAGACCTGAAGGATGTTGAGATTTTGTTAAACTCGAGACCCATATTTTGCACAAACCAAAACAGAAACTGCTATATTACCAACAGGAATATCAAATAAAATATCATTTAATATATGTTAAAGACAGTTGACTTCCGTTTGAACATCCATGATTTTTTTTATATGTCTATTAAAAGTGCTAGGTTGAAGTTTTTTGATAAAGCCACCTTCTGCAGGGCCATAAATATCCAAGAGTCAGGCAATTAGAACTGTCACTAGATAATCAGACTCTGTTTCTCTTGGCGCCCATTCTATAACTATATTTAGTACAAAGGAAGGGATAAAATGCAATGATAGATATGCACTATTAAAAGGATATATGACACAGGACAGAAAGACATATAGTGATGTGAAGGAGGAAGGAGTGTGTGACAGAAGAAATAAATGACACAAGTAGTTTGGACACCAGAATAGGGACAGTTTTGATGAAGATGAAAGACAGGAAAATTAAAAGAAGAAAAAGAACAGGAAACAAAAAAAAACTGTATAGGCCTCATAGGCATGATTTTAAAACTCACTGAGATAAGAAACACCTTTAGAAGGATACATCATTAATCATGGATATTTCAATTAGCTAGTATTGACTGGGCTGGTAATCATGGCATTGATAAGAGAAGCCTTCTCTCCTAGAGGCAACACAGGCTGCTTCCTGACATACTTTCTGAACAATCCATAGAAGTCAGCCTATTACACACTTGGCCCTAATGTGGTTGGGAAATGAGACAAGGATGAAAAATAGAATTGTGGTACAGAGTCAGCCGAATCCAGCGATCACGATGTCATCCTCACATTGGTGCCCTTGAGACTGTAGGTGAAGGTAACAGAAGGAAAGCACAAGACTTGAGTAAATAAATACAATAAACCATTAGAAAATGAGAAATTACCTTTTCAAAATTAGCTGACAATAATTTCAATTTCAGAATATTTATGAGAATGAAGATTTTAGTAGGAAATTAAAGGCAAGGATTTATTTCCGCTAACTTCTGAGAGTAAATATGGAGGTTCTATTTTCTATATAACTTTTCCTGATCTTGGGAGAGATACAAATATTCCTCTAAAAATTTCTATCCTCTCAGAAGAGCTTTAGTTTCAAATAGCTTTACAAGTAGTAGCATACGTTGTAAAGCTTCTTAGAATTTACTTTTAGTACCACATGTGTTTAGCACAAACAAAGAAGATATTGTACAGAAAGATAAGGTTTATTAATCTCTTTTTTAGGCCTCTTTTGAGGAGGAATCCAACCCATGGTCATGTATGGAAGGCAAATTCTCTATAATGAGAAGTTGCGTTTTATCCAGGAAATGTAGTCTGCTATGCATGACTTGGACTTTTATCACCCCAGGAAAGGACACACAACATATCTCTGCCACCTATGTTACTGAAATGGAGATTCTTACTGCTAGTTTGATCCTAGGCAGTTTTCTACTATGTCTATGAATACTGCCCGGTATTACCACACAGGAACCTTAGTTAAAACTTACTATGAAGTCATCAACAGTAGGCTCCTGCTTGTGAATTAGCATAGCGAAAGACTTGCTGGACTAGTAACAGATTTTCTTACTTGTTTATTCTACTGAGGGTTGTTTTGTGCTAAGTGATTGTATACTCAATGTTCTGTTAGCGCACTTGGCCACCATGGAGGTGTAGTATTAAGATCCTTATTTTATGGGCAAGAAAACTGAGTCATGAGGCAAGGAGTCCATCTCCATTGAACCCAGATTGAAGGACGCAGAGTGAATGTGCTAAGCACAAAACAAAGCAACATCTACTTGAATGTGCAATTACTAGTGAGGAGAGAACTACATACTAGTTTAAATATAAATTCTTTCTTTTAATAAAAATAATTACTAAGTATGATAACAAGATATATTTTAAAGATATGAGGAGATCAAGGATGTTATTCTAAGGATAAGAGAAGTTGTCTACATTCGAGAATGCTTAGAAAAGGTTAAAACCCACATATACAAAACAAAAAAATTAAAAACAGTACAGGTCTCATCTCAGAAATAATTAGACTGAGCATTTTTAGAACAAACTATGAGTGATCATAGACAGGATAACCAGAATCAGGCCAACACAAATACTATATCCCAACAGGAATACAGTTTTAGGAACATAAAATGCCTGATTCTGGTTATCCTGGCTGTGATCACTCATAGTTCGTTCTAAAATAATGGAATCCATACATCAAGAAACTTGAGTGCATCAGACAATTGGGTTATCGTACATCAGAGAAATCTCAGTTACAATCATAGATCTTTTTCTTTCAGGTTGGTAAAAGCTAGAAGTCTAGACATCCCCCCAAAGAATTTGCCTAATTAAATCACACAGAAATTTTAAGTCATAGGTGGACAATAGATTACTATTAAGAGTTTTTAACTGGCATCATCCTAACTGATCACAAAACTGATGCTCTCACCAGTCAAGCAGTCATACAGAAAGTGAAGTGTGGCACAGGTCCTTTCTGTGAATTTCAGCAAACAGAACTCAATGTAGAAATTTCAGATGCCTAATGATGTTGGACATTTCCTTAAGTGTCTTTTGGTCATTTGAAATTCTTATTTTGAGAATTCTCTGTTTAGTTCTGTATCTCATTTTTAATTGGATTATTTTAATTTTGATGTCTAATTTCTCGAGTTCTTTGCATATTTTGGAGATCAGTCCTTTCTCTGATGTGGGATTGGTGAACATCTTTTCCCATTCAGTAGGCTGCCTTTTTGTATTACTGACTGTGTCCTTTGTTTTACAGAAGCTTCTCAGTTTCAAGAGGTCCCATTTATTTATTTTTGCTCTCAGTGTCTGTGCTACCACAGTTATATTTAAGAAGTGCTCTCTGTGCCCAAGCGTCAAAGGCTACTTTCCAGTATCCAGTGTGGTTGTATGTATATGAGGTCTTTAATTCATATGAACTTGAGATTTGGGCATGGGTATAGATATGGATCTATTTACAGTCTTCTACATGTTTACATCCAGTTATGCCAGCACCATTGTTGAGGATGCTTTCTTTCTTTCCATTGTATAATTTTAGCTTCTTTGTCAAAAATCAGGTGTTCATGGGCATGTGGATTAATATTCAGGTCTTTTATTTGATTTCATTGGTCAATCTGTCTGTTTTTTTTTGCCAATGCCAAGCTGCTTTCATAACTATAACTTTGTAATAAATCTTGATGTCAGGAATGGTGATGCCTCTGGAAGTTCCTTTACTGTACAGATTTTTTTTGGTTATGCTGGTTTTTGTTGTTGTTATTTTGTTTTTCCATATAAAGTTGAGTATTGTTTTTTCAAGGTCTGTGAAGAAATGTGTTGAGATTTTGATGGGGATTGTTTGAATCTATAAATTGCTTTTGGTAGGATTGTGGTGTTAGACAATGGTCTGTATTCTCTCAATTATATTTTAAAAAATGCTGATTGGCCAGTAGCCAGGCAGGAAGTATAGGCAGGACAACCAGATAGGAAATAGAGCTGGGTCAATAAGAACAGGAGACTTCTGGGAATTCTTAGTCTGCAGTGCTGACTCAGCCATGTAAGAAGCAAGATGTGACTGCCTCGCTGAATCAGGTACCAAGCCACATCCTAACATAGGCAAATGATGGGCTAATATAAGTTATAAGAGTTAATAAGAAGCTTGAGCTAATGGGCCAATCAGTTTATAACTAATGTAGACCTCTGTGTGATTTCTTTGGGACTTAATGATTGTGGGAACCGGTCAGGACAGGATTGACACTTTTATTATGTTTGTCTTTCCTATCCAAGATTATGGTAGAACATTCCATTTTCTTATATCTTCTTCAAATTCTTCAAAGACTTAAAGTTCTTGTCAAATAGGTCATCCACATCTTAGGTTAGTGTTACCCCAAGATATTTTATGTTATTTGTGGTTATTGTGAAGGGTGATGTTTTTCTGAATTTTTTTCTGTTTCAGTATTTTTTTCTTTCTTTTTTATTATTTATTTATTCATTTATTTATAAAAATTTCCACTTCCTCCCCTCCACACA